CAATGAGTGTTAATGATTTCTTTTTGCTATTGTGGTTATTGCTAATGAATTTTTTTCTCATTTGTAAATGCACAACATAATTGAAGCTTATTTTCTTAAACACCAAAATTTACTATAAACTATATTCTTCCTAAACTCCTTTCAGAGGGCATTTCATAAATCTTTACCTTAACAAACATAAACCTCACATCCCATCTATACCGAGGGCTGCACCTGCCTCTCAGCCCTCCACCCCCGGTGCCCTTCTGCAGCCACCAGGACAGCTGTGGAAATATCTGAAGCTTCTGGGATCCACAGATTCAAAACTATGGACAGAAAAGAAGGCACATAAAGCTCAAAATGCTTAGAGCAGTATTTCGTTCAGAATTTGGTAAAGGAAAGGGGAACATCATGGCTTAGAGTACTGGTTAGCTCTCGGTGAATATAGAGAATTTTCAAAGCTCTTTGGAGTGTTATCCTATATCCAGCAATCCACCAGTAACAGCAGTGTGCCCACTCTGCTGACAGCTGACACATGACCAGTGCCCTTGGATGCTTGATGTTGGTTCATTTTTCACAAACCTCACCTTAAGCCTATTCAGAGAGTGTGACTTGGCTGCTGGGTACCTCTGAGTCTACCTTCCTACTATGTTCTCTGTGGGAAAAATCAATGCCTTTCCATACAGGAAGCACATCAAGAATTTCCACACTTCCCTGCTTTGGCCTTGGCTGTTCTCCCTGCCTAGAACATCCTTCTGCCCTCACTTCTTACTACTACCCAACTTTAGCATCCTTCAAGGCTTAGTGCAAACACCACCTCCTCTCTGATTTCCCTCCTTCCAGCAGAATTAACAGCCATGTTTTGTGAACTTCCCCAGCACTTTGCTTGTGTTTCTATTTTTATAATGACCGTGTATTAGACAGAAGTATGTGGCAAGCATCTTTCTAAGTGCTTCCTCTATGCCACCATGTAACGTGCACTGCAAATCTGTAAGAAATCATTACACATCCCACTTTACAAATGGGGAGACTGAAGCTCTGAGGGTTGAACTTACCAATGATCATACAATCAGAAAGGGATACAGCTGGGATTCCAACCATGTTCTGACAGCTCCCAAGTCCGTAAGTTTTTCTCTCTGCTATACTGCCTCTCTTTGATGCCCCTATGTCCAGTTGGTTAATTAATTATAAACACATATGCCTGTCCCTGGGAGTACAGCAAATCCCTGGCAGGGACCTGGGCATGTTCCTCTTTATAAACGTGGATGATAACATATCCATTTATATAAGATTGTCAGGAGAATTAAATGAGACAGTACATTGAAAGCACTCAGCCTAGTGCCATGCACATTATAGGCTCCTAGTAATTTTTCGGTTTTGCTGTTGTTCTTGTTGTCATTATTACTATGTCCAATGCCAAGGATAAAGCCTTGAGCATAAATTGTGAACTGAAGCTCCTTTCAGAGAAACAAATAAAGTGGGTAGGGCCCTGATGGAAGAGACAAATGCCACTTTGGTTCAACATCTCCCCACACCACTTGACGACTCATTCAGAAACAACAAGAGTTGCAGAGAAACTCTCCAATATTTCTACGTTAGGGTCAATTGATTCCTTTATCCTTCCATTGCCATGTGGATGTTAGACAACCTCCTATCTAGTTTAAAGCCCTTGCAGCTCTGTGACTTTTCTTGCTGCCTTCTCCTTTGCAAGTTGCCAAGGTTCCCCTCTGAGTAGTCTGAGCCAAGAGAAGAAGAAAATCACAAAAGTAAATGAAAGCACAGAGGGCGAAAGGTAATCTGCAACTCTAATGCTAATAAACATAATGAAACACTCGCCTTTGTTCTCGGAGCATTTAGCAGTACTTTAAATCATCCCACTGACTGCTTTACTCCTTGGTTTTTGTCGGTCACCCCCTCGTAGGAGGTAAGCCATCTCAGAGAAAGCAATCTGCCCATCCCATCTACTGCTAACCCCCAGGGCCTAATTCAAATCTGGCATATTATAGTCATTCATTAAATACTAGTCAACTGACTGACTGCAATTATTTGTATGTGTGTATGTATATATGAATATGTGTATAAATGTATACATATACATGACAGCATTCCACAGTTTATGAATAAATATGCATGTATCTCCACACAAAAGTGCAAACTGTGCATTCATATACATTTCTAGTTGTGTGGAAGATATTTTAGACTGGAAAACACAGACACCTGTTTGCAAAAGTTATTCTTTCTTAACATAATAAGGGCCTCTGGCTGACCTAATATTTTAAAAACATACACTACTGCCCACATACTAACAATCCATATGCTTTAAAAAACAGATTTTATTACACATGCAGAGTACAAAAAATTTTTTGACTTAGCAAACCACGATACTTTTATCTTTTAAAATTCCTCGTCCCTATTTACTAGGTTCAGTGTAAAGAAACGGGGGGGGGGGGGCAAAGTATTGACCAGTAGTGCTTCTCTGCAACTTTGGCTGGCAAAGCATTCCAAATTCTTTTTTTTTTTTTTAAGATTTTGTATTCATTTATTCATTAGAGACACACACAGAGAGAGAGAGGCAGAGACACAGGCAGAGAGAGAAGCAGGCTCCCTGCAGGGAGCCCGACCCGAGGAGGACTCAATAGCAGGACCCGGGGATCACGACCAGAGCCAAAGGCAGATGCTCAATCTCTGGGCCACCCAGGTGCCCAAAGCATTCCAAATTCTTATGGGCTGGCCAGAAGTCCTTATATAAGTTGTAATGTATACAGAGAATTATAATTCATGACAACTATAATAGCACCATTGACTGGTTATATGTGCCAAACACTTGCAGTAGTTGTTTTTTATTTTTGTATTTAAACCTCTACCAACCCTGCAAGGTAAATGCTCTTATCCCCATTTATAAATAAGGAAACTAAGACTCAAAGAGACAGAATGGCTTACCAAAGATACTCCGCTGCTTATCTACCTAGTCATGGCACCCTCAGTCTAGGAATCCTACTAGTGTAGAATTCTACTCCAAAGCCCAAACTCTTTTCAACAAGCAATGGTGCATCTTATACACTTTTACAGACACTGACTTTAAGGGATATGTGTCTAAGCAGTTTTTTATAGTGTGTGGATTCTATTAGTAATTCTCTGCACATAGAGACTACACCAAGTGACAGTCAAACACACTAAAGATTACCCCAGGCTACAGACAGCAAGGGACAAGTGTGTCTCAGAAATGAAAAGCATGTATTTCTCAGAATATGAAGCATTTTCCACTCGATTATATCCTGCAAAGAGATTTATTTAAGGAAGCAACAGAGCTTTCTTTTCTTTCTTTCTTTCTTTTTTTTTTTTTTGGCAACAGAGCTTTCTTATTCTTCCTCCCATACAAAAAAAAAATGGACTCTTTCATTAGGAACCAATGGGAAGTTCTTAATTCATTTCCTTATATCACTTGGAGTAAAAGTGCTTCCTGTCTTTAGAGAAAAGAATTGCTGGATGCTATTTGCCTTTTGGGTGCTTTCGAGTCCATCAATCAATACTGTGAAGGCGGGAGAAAATTAGCCCTTATTTACTTTTAAGGGGTGTAGCATTATTTTCAAGCTTAATGATAGCTGAATTCTAAAGAACAAGAGAGAAGGCAAGTCTTCCCTCCCCGTTTAAAGATTTCATGTCTTCCCCTGAAAGAATTGGCTATTTTCTCTTTGACCTTCTTTCCAGGAGCAGGCCCCAGAAGGAGAAGGAAACGATATGTCTAAAAAGTTTTTTTTTTGAAATTTATGGATGTTTCTGAACATCTGTAACCAACTACTGTTGGTGAAAATGTTTAAGTTGGCTCTCAGCTGCCCATAGACAGCTTGGAAAGATCCTAGGCAGAAGAGCAAAGGAAAGCACTCCTCACCTAGACCACTACAATCTCAGGAAAGCCAACTGCAGCATCTTCAAGCCCCAGGGAATGAAGGGGAAGGGGGCACCTGGCAGTCATAGAAGCCCTTGTGTGTCCCCTGAACATGTCCAGGAAAGTGGAGAGGAAGGGGAAGCAGCACTGCCTTCCCTCCAATCTAACGACACAACCCCTGCTGCCAAGAACTTATTTTTAGACACTTAAGCTGAAATTCCCAGAAAAGAAGGGAAACTACAACCTCTGAGCGATCCTCAGCATTCTGATTTCCAACCTGGCTTCGGTTTTTTGTTTTCTGATTCCAAGTCCCTACCTAAAGTCCATCTCCCATTCTCCAGAAGGCATCCACGGTCTAAGCGACCCCCTTCCCCCGCCCCCCCCCAAAAAAAAGAGCTGGGAGCTGAGGAGCTTTATGTGTTGAAATTTTCAGTTCCCACACTTCAAAGGGACATGACATGACCTTGGGGAAGTAACTCCTCCTTCTGAAGACTCAGTTTGTGGGTGGTAAGATGGGGATAAGAGTGTTATCAGAAAGTTGTTGAGTTTTCAATAAGAATCACACAGTACCCGGCTCTTAGTGGGGGATCAGTTAAGCGCTCTGGGTTTCGTCGTGGGCACACTGAACAAAGCCGCAGGGTCCTGGCTAGGTGCCCATGTTTTTCCTGCCCAAGATTTGCCCATTACTCCCTCATTAGTGATTTCCGTTACCAACCACTCACCCAGCCTCAGGGAGATGCCTCTTACCTTCCTCTAGTTCTCTACAGCTTCCAACACCTACAGAGCCCAAGAGATAAACTCTCATTAAGTGCAAAGGACAAAGTCAGCCTGGATTCTCCTTCCCACCAGTTACGGGGCGAATCGTTGACTATGATCGGGCTGGGGAAGAAATGCTCACAGGTTTTACGTGAGCAAAGCAGGTGTCTGCACATCTCTTTGGTGTAAGGGGTGCGGAAGGACCCCCCCCCCCCCGACTAAAGTCTTCAGGTTTAGAAATGGCAAAGGAAGGGAGGAGGACAAGAAGGAAGGACCGGGGGAGAGATGCCTCTGCAAGGCGGCGCTAGCCCGTGACCCTGTCCCCGGCGCACCGGGAGGAAAGGACGCGAGCCGGGAGGAGCCGCGAGGGGAGGAGTACCTGAAGACTGTCGCCGCCGTCTGGTTCCTTCTCCACGCTGTGCCCTGTTGCAGCACCCCTTGGACGATCTCCTTCTCGTTGGGCAGCCGGTAGACCGGGAAGATGTAGAGCCAACAGAGGACCACAACGCAAAGGGCACTGGCTCCCACCGGGAGCCGGGTCCGCGGGAACTTCCACGCCAGTATTGCCATGGCCCCTCTGGACGTGTGTCGCCGGGCCCGCCCGCAGGGGCTCATCGCGGCCCCGCGGCCCCGGGGGCGGGGGGCGGGGGGCGGGGGGCGCTCAACACAGCGTTAGGCAAAGTGGCAGCGGAGGGTCCCCCCACCGCCGGCCCCCCATACACACACACACCTTCCGCTTTGCTTTCTCGTTTGCACTCGCACGCACGTTTCTTCGGGCCCCCACGGCCCCAAAGGTCAGCGCAAGGATTTTTTTTCAGATGCAACTTTTTCAAGGGTTTCTTTCTAGGGGAAGTGGCCGGGGGGCGAGTCACGAGCTCCGGTCATGGTCGCTTCCCCTGCGGAAGGCGGGCGCTGGGGTCTCCGAGAGCGCAGAGAGCGGCCGCGGCGAGTCGCTCCCGCCGGTTCTGCAGCATCACCGTCGCCCTACGCGGGGCCGGGGAGAGGCTGGGCTCCCTCCCAGACCACTGGCCCGCGGCGTCCCCGCCGGAGAGATGCTCCTGCGCCCTCCGCCGCCTCTCCCCGCCTCCCGCGCTGCTGCACCGCCGGGCACCCCCAGACGCGCTCTCCGCGCCGCGCCAAGTCCTTGGAAATTTCCACCGCGGCCCGGGACCGCTACCCTGCCCCGGGCTTCCCCGCCTTGCTCGCCAGGACCCCCGCTCCCCAGCCCTCCCGGGGAAGAAAAGAACTCGCTCTCATCAGTTAATTCAGCGGCGCGCCGCAGCCCTCCGCGGCGCCCCGGACTTCGCAGACAAACGCCCGGGGATTGGTGGAAATCAAGGTCTCCCCCTCCCTCCCCCACCCGCAAATTTGCCTCCTTCGACCCGTTCAGATCCGCCTGGAGCGCGCGCCTCTCCCTCCCGCCCTTGTTCTCTGGAGACAGAGGCGAACAATAAAAAAATCCCCCCCACCCCCAACGCATGGATACGTCGGAGTGTAGCGGGGACTGGCTGGCGTAACCCGACCTTTCGACTCGCGGCCGGCGCGCCGGGGCAGCACCCTGCCGCCGTCACCCTCGTCTCCCTAAGAACTGGTTGGTCATTAACCCGCAGAGGCTCGAGGAGGCCGGCAGAGATTTATTCCTTCCCGCGCCCCCACCCCCATTACCCGATCCCCGAGCCGCGGCTCCGGCCGACGCTCGTGCGCGCGCGCGCGCTCACTCCCTCTTCTACACACTCTCCGACGCTCACGGGCCCGCACGCGCGCGCACGGGGAGGTGCGTGCACCCCGGGATCCTCCGCCCCGACTCCGCCCTGCAGGGCAAGGCGCTGCTGCATCCAGATGTGCAGCCAGCTGGTGCCCAAGCGCGCAGCCCTTGGCACGTGATGATGCTTTGGCGGCCCTTTCACCTCACCCCCTCCGCCTTTTGGATTAAAGGGCCGTTTGTTCGTAGACCTCGGCCTCGCTCCATCCGCGAGGTAATCGCAATCCCGACCTTGGGAGAAGGCCACCAGCCTGTACCCGCGGGGCTGAGGGACCCACCGTTAGCCGTTCCTAACCGCCCCGGCGGTCTGCGCATAGCTCGGGTACCTCCTAGCGGTTGCCTATTCCGTTTGCTTAAGCGTCTCATCAAGCAGAAAGTGTGCAGGGACAAAGAAACCCAGCCGCCTACTAACCGGGTCAGCTCAGTCATCGCGAAACCAAAATCCAGGGCCATAGCTCCGTTTGCTCAGCTGACCAGGCTGCAGCGCCCCGAGCGCAGTCTCTGCTGACTGCTAAGAGGCCTGGTATCTTTCTCCAGCATCTTTCTCCACTGAGAGGTGAAACTTGAGAAGTTGATGCAAAGTTATTTACCAAACAAAAATGACCCGGCGACCACCGTAGACTCAATACCCCAACACAACGAAGGCCTCTTAGGAGAATGACCCACTGTCCTTCATGACCACGCATGCCCCAGAAACCTCTATTTAGGCAAATCATGAGGGACGGAAACTGTGAATTTCCAAAGTTCTCTATTAGCATGTTGGAGTCTAGTAAAGACGGTCTGAAATGAAGATCAGCTGGACTCCTGCAAAGCAACCAATCTACCCTCTTCTGTCCCGAAAGGCGAAGGATCTAGTTGCCAGGGCTATGGATAAATCACTTGCTGCTGTCCTTTTTCCCACAATATGAATAGAACACAAACCATACCGATTTCTCTCTTCTTCCCCAAGTAAAAGAGATACTCGCAGAGCAAATAAATAAACAACAAACAAAAATAAGACACTACAGTTCTGAAGGGGCTATGTAAATGTATCCTCATTTAACATAGAAATGCATCAAAGTTGTTTCCTACATTGAGAGACTTGTGTGATGCAATGTGTTATTTTTCCTTATTCTGAAAACTAAAGTTCTCTTACCGTTGTTGGCTCTTCCTTTACCTCACACTCCAACCTCATTCCCTGCTTTTCCTTAGCATGAACACCAAATGTAGACAGGCCTTGCCGTCACCTTTCCAAGTCACACAGGCATCATTTTTGGCACTGTATTTTGGGGTCCACCTTCTTCTTGAATGGCATGTACTTCCATTACAAATCCAGTGCATCATTAAAGGCCAACCCAAGTGGCTAGAAATTTCTCCCTCACTGTGTTCCCAAACCACCTAAAATAGGCTTCATGGGATAGGAATTCAGTGAATGTTGTTGTGGTTTATGCTCCTATTCCCTTTGACCTCCTGCTCTGAATGTCTATAGTATTTGCTGGCTCCATCAAATAATACACTCAGATGTGTTGTATTGCTAGCATTTTTTAAGTGCAAGTTTTTCTTAGCAACTGGGCAGTAAGAATATTTGGTCTTGTATATCAAAGAGCAAGCCTGGGCTTTTGATCTAAATGACTTTTAGTAGGCAGCTTAGGTATTATTTTCTATGTCTGAATCTGAGTACACAATAGGGTTTGCCCGGGAACTAAACAAGTTCTAAAATTCTGTAAATGTTTGTTTTCTGAACCAGTGAACATGACCTGCAAAGCGATTTTATGCTGTAAGTAAACTTGATGGGGGCACTTTTGTGACATCAGCATTGTAGTGGAAGCCAGTACAAGGGACCACAGATTGGAAGCCATGGAGAAGAGAGGAAAAAGAGAAACCCTCATTGAGAAGTCTAGAGAGACCAAGATGTGGAAAGATGATCAGGGTAAATGGGACACAAGCAATATACAAGCCAACTTGGACACTAACGGGTGTGAAGACAAATGTTAATAGTCACATAGAAACCTCTCATTAAAAGATCAAATAGAATTGTAAAAGATTTGAGGTAAATAAAAAATTTAAAAGTCATCCTTTCTTCAGTCTCCTCTCGTTTTCTTGTCAAAATGGCTTAAAATGGAGAGACAAAAGCTTTAAAATATGGCTTTTTTCATAGTCAGTTACAACACCAAAGCAAATAGGCTTGTAGAATGAAAAGAGATATAAATATAGTTTATCTGAATAAATGCTTATTTCCACTCCCTCTTGTGAGTCTGCTAAAAGGACAATAAAGGAATAAAAGAAGCATATACTCGGGGATCCCTGGGTGGCGCAGCAGTTTGGCGCCTGCCTTTGGCCCAGGGCGCGATCCTGGAGACCCGGGATCGAATCCCACGTCGGGCTCCCAGTGCATGGAGCCTGCTTCTCCCTCTGCCTGTGTCTGCCTCTCTCTCTCTCTCTCTCTCTCTCTCTCTCTCTCTCTCTCTCTCTCTCTCTTTGTGTGTGACTATCATAAATAAATTTAAAAAATTAAAAAAAGAAGCATATACTCAAAAGGACAAAAGAAAAGGAAGAGATACAAAAGAAGACATATGATGTCCAAAAATTTACACTCAGGTAAGCAATTGAACAAGTGATAACTGGTTTACCAAAATGTGGAAAACTCTGAGCCTTCAAGTGATGGTGTGTGTGTGTGTCTGTCTGTCTGTCTGTTTGTTGGCACAGAGTGGGAGAGTATAGACAGAAGTAAAGGAGAATCAAGCTAATTTGCATTACAGTAATCTTGAAAGGCTCAGAAATTAGAGACATCTGGTACTCCCAGAGGTGGAAGTGATAGATGAAACCAAATAAGAGGTTTGTTTGAAAGTCTTTAGGAGCAGTGAAGCCTCTAGATCTTGTCCCCCAAATTGGTTTAAAACACAAGGTTACCTCTCTAGAGACATTGAACAGCACTAGTAAGAAGGTACATGCAGCTCTCCAATCAGAGAACCGTAACTGTGTCCAACACCCTACGGGAAAGACCACCAGTAGACAAGAGCTATTCACATAGAGCTTCTATCCTTTCTTTTGAGCTTCATTCTTCTATATGAGTAGAGAGCCAGGATGTCCAGATATTTGAAAAGAATCTCCAACATGAACACAGAGACAAAACAACAAACAAGAAATACACACAAGAAAACCCAGAGGAGGGAAAGATAATAGAGAAAACAAAAGGAATCTTCAGTAAGTGCTGTGATTAATACTTTCAGCGAAATAAGAGGCAATCCAAGAAGCCAGAACAAAAGGAATATTCAGATAAATAAATATAAAGCCCTTTAATATAAAAATATGGGAAACATGCAAATACATAATTCATAGAAGAATTGAAATACAAAATTGACGAAGTATCCCAGAAAGTAGGCTAATATGATAAAAGAGGGTTTTTTGTAAGATAATAAATTATAGACTCAAAGACAAAAATAAACATCCAATTAACAGAATCCAAAGGGGGGAAAAACAAAGTGGAAACTTTTCAAAATCATACTAAAAAAATCCTAAAATTAAAGTATATTAAGGGCTCAATAAAATGAATTAAAAAGGCCCATACCAAGGTATATAACAGTGAAGTTTTAGAAAAGAAAAAAGGTGAAAGATTTTTTTTAAAAACACACATATACGAAGAAGTGGAAATAATAATGATTTAAGACTCATCAAAAGCAATATTGGAAACTAGAAGAAAATGGAGGTAGATCATCAAAATTTTTAGCAAAAAAATTTTCCCAAACTGGAATTCTACACTCAGCTCAAGTATGATTTGATTGTGAACATAAACTATAAGACATGTTTAAATGCAAAGTCTGAAAAAGTTTATTCCCATGCACCGGGAAGACACTGGGGCCTCCAATAAAATAATAGCTTTACCAAAAAGAGGGAGCTAGGAATCCAGAAATTCAGGGTTTTCATGCAGCAGAGAGGGAATTCGTAAGGAGACAGCTGTGCCTCATGTCAAAAGAGCAACTAATTGGGATCCCTGGGTGGCGCAGCGGTTTGGCGCCTGCCTTTGGCCCAGGGCGGGATCCTGGAGACCCGGGATCGAATCCCACGTCGGGCTCCCGGTGCATGGAGCCTGTTTCTCCCTCTGCCTGTGTCTCTGCCTCTCTCTCTCTGTGTGTGTGTGACTATCATAAATAAATTTAAAAAAAAAAAAAGAGCAACTAATTACTTTCAGTTTCAACTCAGACAAACTTGGAAGTTGTAACTCCCATCCTTACAAGAAAGCTGAACAAACTGAAAATCAACAGCTTTTCTTGTACTTATCAAAGAATTGAGGTCATAAAGCAAACTACCAGCTCCAGTCTGGAGATAGGAAAATCCACAGGGAGGGCTGAGACCTGTTTGTCTGGAGCAAGAGATGCTGGAGCCATAAATTGGTAGAAACAGCTCAATGATAGTTTGAAATTGTAAAAGTAGAATTGCTGGAAGCTGAGGGTGAACTAGCATAGGGAAGAGAAGTTCCTGGGAGTCAGATGGGCCTCCATACTATTATGAGTTTTATCTCCCGAAATCCCACAAGGTTTTCAGCATGAAAAACTAAGAAAGATCATCCTCTTGGTAACACA